TGCTTCTTCTTTTGCTATGTTCCTGGAGGGTCTGTGAATGCAAGCCCTGTTGTCTATCAGAGCTGGGTGATTTATGGACCCATCCTTCAGTGGCAGCCATAAAAGTTAGGGTACTAGATGTGTGGTGAAACCCTTCACTCCGTAGGGATAAGCAAGGAGTTGAGAGCTGACTCTACTGAGATAGGTACATCAACTATACTGAGACATAGTTGACATTCAGCACTGTTTAACATACACAGCATAGTGATTTGACTTACATAAACCATGGCTGAGTAGAAGGGTGTGTGCTCATCTGCGAGAATTCCAAAATTGCAACTCACTGCTAAACAACCATCAATAGGAGAATGTTGGATCCCACCAAAAAAAGATACCCCACATCCGAGGGCAAAGGATAAGCCCCAACAAGATAGTAGGAGATGCAAAATCACATTTAGAATCAAACCTCATACCCGCCAGAAACACTTGGAGGGCTTAAACTAAGCCTTGTGTGCACCAGGACCCAGAGAATCCACAGAGGCTGAGCCAGACCTGCCTTTGAGTGTTTGTGTCTCCTGTGGAGGCATGGGTCAGCAGTGGCTGGCCAACAGGGACAGAGGCTCTGGCTGCAACAGACCTGGGTCATGCAGCATGTGGCAAAAGGCCTCTTGGAGGAGGTCACCATCAGCCCCAACATAGAGCCACCAAGGAGACAACCCACAAATTGCAGAACGATTATACCAAAGAAATTCTTACACCGTTAAGTTCTAAGACCCACAACAGATTTCCCAACCTATGGATCTGGCAAAGGGACTGAGAACCCCCAGGGAATTTGACTTTGCAGGCCAGTGGGATGTGATCATAGAACTTCCTCAGGGCTGGGGAAAGAGATGCTTTGGTGGGGGCGGGGGGCAGGTCACAAAATAAAAACTGTGTGTACATGAGGAGCCAGGAAAGAGGAGCAGTGTCCCCACAAGAGACTGAGCCAGACTTGCCCATGTGTGTCCAAGAATCTCTGGCAGAGGCATGGGTTGACAGTGGGCTGCTCTGGGGTTAGGGGCACTGAATACAACAGTGCATGCAAAGGTTCTTTTGAAGAAGGTTAGCCCTACCATAAGACTTCCCTGGTGGCTCAGACTGTAAAGCCTCTGCCTATAATGTGGGAGACCCAGATTCGATCCCCAGGTTGGGAAGATCCTCTGGAGAAGGAAATGGCAACCCAGTACAGTACTCTTGCCTGGAAAATCCCATGGACAGAGGAGCCTGGCGAGCTACAGTCCATGGTGTCGCACACTACTGACAGCCTTGTCTAACTCAATGAAACTAAGCCGAGTGGTGTAGAGCCACCCAAGATGGATGGGTCATGATGGAGAGTTCTGATCCACTAGAAAAGGGAATGGCAAACCACTTCAGTATTCTTGCCTTGAGAACACCATGAACAGTATGAAAAGGCAAAAAGATAGGACACTGAAAGATGAACTCCCCAGGTCGGTTTGTGCCCAATATGCTACTGGAGATCAGTAAAGAAATAACTCCAGAAAGAAGGAAGAGATGGAGCCAAAGCAAAAACAAACACAACAAAGCAAAAGCAAAGCAAATACAACACATCCAGTTGTGGATGTGACTGGTGATAGAAGTAAAGTCTAATGCTGCAAAGAGCAATATTTCATAGGAACCTGGAATGTTAGGTCCATGAATCAAGGCAAATTGGAAGTTGTCAAACAGGAGATGGCAAGGGTGAACATTGATATTTTAGGAATCAGCGAACTAAAATGGACTGCAATGTGTGAATTTAACTCAGATGACCATTATATCTACTACTGTGGGCAGGACTCCCTTAGAAGAAATGGAGTAGCCATCATGGTCAAAAAAAAAGAGTCTGAAATGCAGTACTTGGATGCAGTCTCAAAAATGACAGAATGATCTCTGTTCAGGTTCAAGGCAACCCATTCAATATCACAGTAATTCAAGTCTATGCCCTGTCCAGTAATGCTGAAGAAGCTGAAGTTGAACAGTTGTATGGACTTACAAGACCTTTTAGAGCTAACACCCCCAAAAGTTGTCCTTTTCATTATAAGGGACTGGAATGCAAAAGTAGGAAGTTAAGAAACACCTGGAGTAACAAGCAAATTTGACCTTGGAGTACAGAATGAAGCAGGGCAAAGGCTAATAGAGTTTTGCCAAGAGAACGTACTGGTCATAGCAAACACCCTCTTCCAACAACACAAGAGAAGACTCTACACATGGACATCACCAGATAGTCAATACTGAAATCAGATTGATTACATTCTTTGCAGCCAAAGATGGAAAAGCTCTATACAGTCAGAAAAAACAAGACTGGGAGCTGACTGTGGCTTCAATCATGAACTCTGTATTGCCAAATTCAGACTTAAATTGAAGAAAGTAGGGAAAACCACTAGACCATCTAAGTGAAGCCCTCTCTTACTTCATAATCTCTCCAACTTCAGCCTCCCTGGGACTTCCATAGCCCATTCTTTATTTTTCTACTTAACATTATCATTTTGAAAATAATTTATACTTTTATTTTATCTTGGCTACTCTCTCCCACACTAAAATGAAAGTTCCATGAGGGTAACATTATTTTGTTTTTTTTCTTTATTACCATAAGTTCCTGTGTCTAGAAGACTGACTGGCTGAGAGCCCACCTGAAGTAAGTAATGGTGAGATGAAGATAAAGCAAATAAATTAAAAAGCAAAGGCAGTCAAAGTAAGCCAAAGAGGAGCTTAGCAGTTTCCCCTGGATCTAATCCCAAATCGACCAATGCAAATACTTCTGGGGGACATCTGGGCATTTTATTATCGTGAAGCAGGCCATCTGGGGGCATGGCCCACTTGAGAGCATTCTGAGTTTAAAATGGGCTGAGCCCTTCCTCAGAGTCAACTGCTTGTGTCCTTGTTGGAATGTGGTCCCTAACCCATGGTCTTTTTTTTTTTTTAAGGTAAGCCAGAAATGTGGATTTTTGAAATGTGAAATCTCCAAAATGTCTGTATAGCTAATTGTAAAATGGAGAATGATAAAAACATGAAGATCAAGCAAACTATGACAGTGGGCTGAAACTGGCCCATGAGTTGCCTGCAGGTGTTTTCTAGACTGAATTATGTGATGTATGAAAGAAAACCTATCCCTGCTCTGGTGAGGTGGGCTTGCCTTGTGTAGTTCTTGAAGCAAACAGCTTCAGGTCATGTTGGGTGGAGAGAATGAGCTGTAATTAACAACTTCTCTCCACTCCGGGAAGCTCCCTGCCTTCCCCTCTGCCTGCTATGCCTGGAGTTACTGGGCAGAAGAGAGACAGCAGAACTGTTTCTTTGATGGCAGTGAAGAACGTGGAGTGGGAAAACCAGAGAGAGTTTTAAAGGGAACATCCACGCTGGACTGGGGGATGGAAAGGAAGAGAGAAGGACAAAGACCCATGTATTGGGACACCACACCTCAGAGGGAATTTATTGAGAGTTACCACACCCTCTTCACACCAACGACCTATGTGGCACTATACAGTCAAAGGACTTAGTTATACAAAGTCACAACTCCCCACCCAACTGCTCATGCCACCTATCTCACCTGCAAATAGAACTGCACACATTTCTAGTACAGTTCCCTGTGTGCTTGAAGTGGGCAAGACTAGTCAGGAGGTACCCTTGAAGAGTCAGTAAGCACTCTTTTTGTTGGGGTATTGCCAGAATGGGTCTTCTGGAGGCAGCAGACCTCCATCTGGTGAAGCACTGGCGGGAGATACCTGTGGTTTCAGGCAGTTGCTGAGAGAAGCATGGACAATCAAGTATTTCCCCATGCCCTGGAGAGAAGCACTAAGCTACGTCCTCTGTAAGGAGGCAAGGTATAGTTCAGGAAGTTGAAGAACAGTGAGATAAGTGCAGTATCTGGGTTGAGCAAGTTTCCTTTTTTCTGGATAAAATGCTTTCCAAATACAAGATGGCACATCTCTTAAGTTCTGAGAACTCCACTGACTCGTTCCCGAAAAAATCATTTATTCAGTGTAGAGGAAGTGAACCAAGAACTTCAGGCCTGAGATTTATTGCCCCTGGGTCCTCTGGAAAATACGAGGCTACTGCCTGCAGCCCCCTGCTATGGAGCACCATGCTAGTGTGTTTAGGCTGAGGGCTGGCCTCTACTTAGCAGGTGTGGCATGAACTCCCTGATATAATAAAAACCTTTTATGTATAAACTTGACTCCTGCTTAACTCTTGAGACATTCCTGTCAAAATTTCCCTCTAGAGAAGCTCCAATCCATCTGGTTTCTTTGTTGCCACATTCTTTGTGGACAGAGATAGGGAGGGCAACTTGGATACTGCCAGAAGTGCTATTTTTCTTGGGTCTTCCAATCTCTCATGGAACCCACACCTCATGCCCTGTTTTCTCTATTTTCACTCCCTCTGTGGAGCCAACTTTTATCTTTGTCTCCCTTGCTCTGAACTTCTTCTAAATGTATTTGTGTTCCTCTTTACTCAATTTATCCTGATTTCCTCTCAACCACAAGATTTCACTCTCTGTCTGTTATTCTTCAACTCCCTCCCAGTTGGCTGCCTCCCCCTCTTAGGTTATCCCTCCCCCTAGAAGCCTCTCCATTTCTGACCCCTTCCCACCTCCTTTCTTAAGCAGCCATCTCTCCTCCTTTCCCCAAAAGTCCATCTCTAGTTCCTTCTTCTCTCCTCTCCTTAGACCAGACCAGCTAAGTCCTGTTCCATTTTTAGATGACTGATTATGATACTAGCTGAACTTTATTCACAGCCTGAATTTACACTTGTTCCTTTCTTTCATGTTACCTCAATCAAACACACCCAACCTTTTCACCATGACAAATGCCTTACACACAGCATGTCATAGCTACATAAACTTATATTTTTCAGAACAAAACAACAGTTTTGCTGGCAATGATGATGGGTTATTAGGGGCCCCTATACTTTCAGTACACTGAAAAGCAACATTTTTTGTGTTTCTTCAAATCATACATTTGCCTACATACATGTGATAAGGTTTACCCTAACTGTTAAGACTTTTTCACCAAATCATAGACATAGATATGGAAATCATCATCAAACTTGATGAAGTACACAGAAGGTTTGGCTTTAACTTGGTGAATTACTTTGCCTGTCCTTTTGGAGCCATCTTCTTTGGTATATTCTACATGTTTACCTATGAGGCCATCTATAACTCCTTCTGGCTCTCTCTCTTTTGGAGAAGACTTACTCGATTCTGGCATGATATGGAGGTCACCTTCTTTATAATCATCTAAAAGCTGGTACATGTACAAAACAGGATCTTTCTCATAGGTAATATAAAACCAGGCTTTCATAATGGGTGCTTGGGCTAAGACCATCCCCCTCCATCCATCCTTAGAACCATGCTCACCCTCAAACATATGTTCCACAGCTTTACCAATTATGGTATTTGCAAGGCGCACATCTCTGACTCGAGAAAATGGCACTTTATCAGGAAGGATTTTAAGCTTTAAAATCCTTTTATCTCTGTGAAGTTCCAGTCCATAGACACAGTCAATTCCATCATATTTCACCAGATAAAGAGAGGGATTTATAGGCACCTGATCCAGAACGGTTCCTTTCCACTGGGTGATGGGCTCATCGCCTTCCTTCCATCCATGTGAAATTCTGCAGCCCACGATGTTCCTGCGGGGCTGGGAGGAAGGTCTGCCCCTCTGTTTCTTTTGAGAAATCTTTTTCTTCCTCATACTTGCAGACAAGGTGTGGCCATCAACAATGTCCCTTGTTTGCTGCCTTGCAGTTGCCTTTTTGTGAGGTGTCTTCATACCTGCAAGGGGATGAAAGAGGCTAGGGAGAAACATTTAGTGTACTGTAGTGTGAAATTTTATTTCTCTGCATTGCAAATTCCCTGGGCATCAGGCATATGTATTGCCATCCAAGTTATTGGATGTCCAGCAGAGATGCTGGCTATCAAAATATTATTGGATGTTTGCCTGCAGTCCCCCCAAACTTACTTGGCTGTGCTGGAGGGTTGGAAAGGTGATAGATTTGGTTGATGAGCCCCCAGCAAGAGGGAGCAGGCTCCTTTGGCTAATACCTCTGTTGCCATCTTAGACTCCCCACACCAAACACAAATATTCATCATTTATTAGTTCCCACTCAGTCTCTCCATTTGCATGAACATAGTACCCTTTTCCCCTGCTCATTGTTATTTGCTCTTCATCTGTCTTGCCTCCCACCCCCATTCCTTCTGCCTGTTGTTCAACTCTCCTTCATATCTCTTCCTGGTCTACCCTATTTTGCCGCTGGGTGCCCAGAGCAAATCTATTTCTCTTTATGGGGCTACCTTTATATACCACCCAGGTGCTCGTCGGCTCTCCCTCCCCCCACCCCCCTATCCCCAAATCACCTTTCTCAGTCTCCCTCATTTTCCATTCCAGCACGGAACCCAAATTTTCCCTCTTGGCACCCACCAACCCACATCCTCCGATTCTCTAGTCCAGCGCCCACCTCCCCAAGTCGGGGGACCGCAGGTCTCACGTGTCCAAATCGGACACCTCACTGCTGCCTCCGCTGTGAACCTGTGGTGAAAGAGGATCAGCAGGCGACGAGTTCGGAGTTTGCAAGAGCTGGGAGGGAAGGATTCTTAGGCGAGGAGCGTTTCTAGGAAGACAGCTGGGCTGACGAAGAGGATGGCGGCAGTGTCTCCAACACCGCGCTCACGGGCCCTCCACCTCTTTGGCGGTGACGGCCTCTCTGCCACATCGGGATCCCAGAAGCCGCTGCCGCAGCCGCAGTCTCCTCCCTCTTACCATCGCGCAGCTTCCTGCCAGGAGAGAGGCCGCCCCTTCCTGCCAAACACTGCCACCCTCCTCGCCTCCTCCACTCTCAAGCCCACCTCTGCCCTGTGCCTGGGAGGTGTTTCTATCTCTCGGCTCTACACCTTTACAAAATCTGGAGGCGCCTTGCTAAACCCACAACGCACCACCCCAACCAGCTTTGCGTTCTGTCTCCAGATCAGGGGCCCCCATTTCCTTCACCCTACACTTACCACAATGCCCGTGCCCCATCTGTTTTCCAATTTTCAAGAATTTCCCTTTTCTGCCCCCCGCCCCCGTGCCATTCTGATGTTAGTCTCTATATACGGAAACCTGTGTTTCTTGCCATTTAAGGGGATTTGAGGTAGGACGAGAGAAATGAGCTTGTGCTTATTTGCATCTTGATACAATCTCCAGGGAATTTTTACTCTCCGGTCATTTCCAGACTTCTTAAAAAAAAATATATATATATATATATATTTTTTTTTTTTCCCTTTTCTTCTTTTTCACAGATTGAAAAGAACTGCATGCACTATGTGGACTTTGTAAAATTCAGAAGATTCACTTGAAGAAAATAATCTACCCTAAAACCACTATAAATCTCATTCCCCAGGGCTTCAAGCAAAATATGAACACTCTATTTCCTTCACCTTTTTTTCTACTCTTTCAGAGATCTAGGGTCATTTTGCAGATTCAATTCTTAAAAATTCTTTGTAATATCATGTTTATGGTATTTTGAAAATACAGTGTATGTAGCAATATTACAAGTAATAAGTACTCTCCATTAATATTTTACCTGTTTTTATTGAAGCATTTTAAAATTAAAATATTATTAATAAAATGTAATTCTCTTTTATTCTCTAATCCTGATCCTAGTCTCTTCTTCCTCTCTAATGCTAAAAATCATCACTCAAATTTTGCATATCCTAACCCTCTTTATAGTCATACCTATATTATTTATAAACATTATTAATTTTGTTTTTTATATTTATTTTTAAAATGTCCATTATGAAGGATAATTAATTACCCCATACTGTGAGGGGAAGAGAATAATTCTTTTTCAGTGGCCCACAAGACATTTCTGGGAGATGGCTATGGGTTCCTATGACCCATCTATATATATGTACTGTGCAACTGATAAGAATATGATATCTCTATAGCTTGTAAAACTATAGTTTTGTATAGTTTGTAAAACAATCATGTACTTAGTTGAACAAGCTGATTTAGCACTTCCTTTTAAAAGTATATGTATGTATCCACTCTTACAGATATTCAAGAAAATGTTTTGGCTTTTTTTTCTTAAAAAAGCCTTGCCATCAAGCCTGAAATAGAACTCTGATATGTCTAATAATTTAATTTCGCTGAGCTTTATTTTGAAAATAAGTTTAATCATGAGTATTTTTTTTTGCATCTTGCTTTTGTTACTCAATATTTTGTTTTTAAATTTCTTCCTGTTATGTCTCTAACATTCTTTGTTATCTTCAACTCTATTGCAGAGTATACATATATAACATTTTTGTCATCCATTTAACAATATATTCAAGCACCCATTCTCTTGATGGCCATTTAATTCATTTCAACATTTCATTATTACAAATAATGATACAATGAATAGTTTCTTGGACTTGTTCCAGAGTTTCTGCAGTGTATACACTGGAAAAAGAAATACTGAGCTGTAGGTAAAAGCAATTCAAAATTCCTAAATGTTGCCGAGTTCTTGCATTAATTCATTGAACCAAATTATGGTATAATCAGCGCTGTAGGTATTCCATCTTCTCCACATTCTAGTCAACTCTTGATATTTTCATATTTTTAATGTGTGCCAAACTAGTGAGTGAGGATTGGTAGCTCACTGCTTTAGTTTATATATTTCTGATTAGTGAGTTTCAACTTATTTTCCTGTGGGGTCTTTCTGCCATTCAGTAGTCCTATTGTGTGTTTCTCTTCATATATTTCTTTTAAATTGTTTATCTTTCTAAAATTTATTTTTATATTTTTGATTCTAAAATTATCCAGTTTCATATATTTTATATGTATTTTTATTTACATATAAAATATTGGCATCCATTTCCGTTTTAAATCATTAGACTATTGTAAACAAATATTTACAACATTCACAGTCACTGTGGTTCTATGTATGCCCCAGATTGTTATCTCTGTTATGAATTTGCTGATTTGCCTTCTCTACTTATATACCCATAGAAAATATATTTTGCGTATCATTTAATGTAACTACTGTTAATTTTGAGAAAGTTTTGTGTACCACTAAAAAAGAAAATGACCACAATTAAACTATAATAAGCCATGAATTAAAAGATATATGACACATTTAGAGATGTTAAAGTGTGAAAAATAAAAATGTAAAAAAGGAAAAATATAAGGAAAGTAAATGGAAATAGTAAATGTTATTTTTTTCCTCCACAAATACGTGAAAATCTTGGTCTTAGATGAAATATGGTATTATTGGTGAATTTTTAAGCATAAATTATGCCATATTGTTTATATTTTCTAGAATTTATTTTTGCATTAAGCAATGCGTTTTAGGGTTATATCACCATAAGAACATGGTTTCAATTTTTCCCATCTCAAAAATACCCTCTTCTGATTTCACTTACTGTTTCAGCTACCACCTCATATTTCTACTCTCTTTTTCAACAAAACTCCTGAAGGTGTTTCTTATCCATTGTCTTCAATATTTTCCTCTCATTGTCTCTAAAACCTACTCCTATTCTAGTCTGGCTCCCCTGCTCATTCCCCCACCACTCCGTGAAAACTCTTCTTCAGAGTCATCAATGACCACCAATTTTCATTTATTAATCTCCATCTTACTTTACCGGGTTTCTGTGGTGGATCAGATTGTAAGAGAATCTGCCTGCAATGCAGGAGACCCAGGTTTGACTCCTGGGTCGGGAAGATCCCCTGGAGAAGGGAATGGCAACCCACTCCAGTATTCTTGCCTGGAAAATCCCATGGACAGAAGAGCCTGGTGGGCTACAGTCCATGAAAACCCAAAGAATCTGACACAAATGAGTGACTTTCACTTTCATTTTACATCTTACTTTATCTATCAGCGGCCTTTGATCATTCCATCTTCCTTAGAAAACTATTTCCTACAGTAAGGATCCCACACTCTCCAGGTTTTTCTGGTAACTCACTGGCTACCTCTTATAAATTCACCTTTATAAATATGTTCCTTCTTATCATGCCCATCTCTTAATGTTGTTTCCCAGCTCAATCAGTAGATAACTTCTCCATCCACGTTCTCTCCTTTGGTGATCTCATCCAGGGTTATGGCTTTAAATGCCATCTAGAAGTTGAAAAGTCTCAAATTAATGTATCTTGTCTGACCTCTTTTTGTGCTCCAGACTTGTAAATCTGGTTACTTGCTAGACATCTTCATGGGGCTGTCTAACAAAGTCAATACATTCTTGCTAAGAGTCTTATATTTCCCCTAAAACCTGCTTCATCTACAGGCCTATCACCCCATTGCAGTAAATGGCAACTCCATCTTTCCCTATTCAAAGGCTACTAACTAAACGTCATTCTGTCTCAAAGCCCATATTTAACTCATCATGATTATGTTGGCCCTACTTTCAAAATTTGTCTAAAGTCTTACCATATTTATAATGTTCACTACTACTATCTTAATTTTAGTCATCCTCATTTCATGACTAGCTTATAGTAGACTGGTTGATTGTGCTCTTGTTCCTTAATAGCCTGATCACTTATATCAGTCAAAACCTATAAAGACTCCTCATTTCCCTCAGAAGAAAAGTAAACATACAAAGAGTTTCTTACAAGACTATATTTGATCCAGTCTTTTTGCCCCTAGTCTGTTATATCTCTTTCTGATATCTTCTACCATTTTCACTCATAACACTGAAGAATATAAAATTTCTATGTTTATAGGTCATAATAGATTCAGCAATTTTAAATGCTCAAACTATCATCTAACGGTGTTCCTTCCACACTGGAATCATTAATACCCTTCGAACAAACAAAATGTT